TGTTGTACACTCTTCATGTAATTACAAACTGTAGGGATTGCCTATGTGTAATCTCGTACATCAAACTAATAAAAATCATCCGGCAATGTAAGCCACCTTAAAAATAAAAAAAAAAAAAAAAAAATAAAGAAGTTTCTACATATATGATCTCTATTATTAGCCTAAGCTATTACTTTACAAGTTTGTGACTTGTCTAGTTACCAAGTAGTACCTATTTGCAATCTGCTATACCTAACTATTTTCTCTATAAAAGAGTATAAGTTCTAGACCCAATTTTTAATTACTTCAACAAAGCATGTTAGAAGTACATCATAATTGCTCATCATAACTAACTTTGCTTAAAAAAGACTCAAAAACAAGAAAAGAAAGAAAAAACAAAAACAAATAAGAAGAAAATAGAAAAGAAAAAGACTTAGATAGAAAACACCTATTAGCAAAGCTAAATAGATTTCTTCTAAATACTACTCTACTCATAAAAATTATATAAAATACTAATACTATATTCTATATCTTTAATTAATTTACTCTTAATACTATTAGTCTAAATTAGTTACAAATAGTAATTGGCTTTATTATGTGTGCTAGCTCTTTAATAAACAAAACAGATTATCTGTTTTGTTTATATAATCTTTTTTCAAAATAGACTGGTTGTATGAATATTGATCCTTTTACGAGAAGTAGCTAAATTCTCACTTTTTACAAAATAAATTTTGCAAAAAGATTATGATATAAATATAAAGAGCTGTTCAAAGTTTTTGAATTATAAGAAAGACCTAAGGTTGATGGGTACAAAAACTCTAACTAAAGTAGAAGGATTATATTACTACTTAACTTAGTCTAAGTAGTTTTAGTAGAGCTTATATTTGGTCTTTAATTCAGCTATAAGTAAATAAAAAAATACTAAGACCTACTAAAGTTAGTAGCTTTGCTCTAGTAGACTACTTACAAACTAAAGATATTAGTATAGTACTAATATACTCAACCTAGTTATAAGCTTTATCCCTCATGCTGTATAATAATATTTCTTGCTAGGTATTGTTTTTAAATTTTTATTGTTACTTTATATTAGATTTTAGTGATTAGCAGAAAGAGTTGTAATTAAAATGATTTTTTGCTAATTTGAAAGAGACTATTATAGAACTAAATTATTTTATTATTATTATCTAATTATTTGAACAATATATAAAAAAATCTGGTTACTTTCATAACAAATTATATATACTTCAGCATTTATAATATCTGCTTCACTTTCTGCAATTATATACTTTTATACTAATCTAATTTCTACTTTGCAAATTGAATTTAAGATATATTAATATATCAGCAATAGTTAATTATCTATTAATTAGTTGTATAATGATTAGAGGTCTATAGCCTTTCTAGTATAGCTTAAATTAAGAGTAAATTAGCTCTTATCCCTACTTTACTTATTCTTTTAAATATATATGTAAGCTTATATGTATTCCTTTATTTGATAATAATAAAGAGTTAGAAAATAGACTTTGTTATATATATATATATATATAAAATAAGATAGATTAAAGTATTATTATTTAATTATTATTATTATTATTTTTTTAAATAAGGTCTTTATTTAATTTCTTTATTATGATATAGAAAAATATAGTTTTTAAAAATTTTTATTACAATAGGTCTAGTAATTTTAATATAGTAGATAGATTGCTAGACTACTATATAATAGATCTAGAGTTTAAATCCTACTATCAATAAATTTGAATAATTTTTTAAACCTTGTAATATATTATAATAAACTTTGTTTATTTTAAAGAGTATACTCCTGTAAATTAAGTTATACAAAATTGATTTAAAATTAGATGTATAATATAATATTATATGAAGAAATCTTAATAGGATATATAAGCAGAGAATTTATATAGTAGAAATCCTGAGTTAGTAAAATAGTACAGCTTTTCTAAAGAACTATATCAGCTAAAGTTTGATTTGAAAAGAAAACTTAGTTTAATAAAGGTAAAAGATTTTAAGATTACTAAATAGAAAGATAAGATAACTAGCTGAATACTAAAAAAAAACTAGATCAATTGACTAATAAAAGACTATAGTAAAATCTAAAGTTATACAAATACTATAAGAGTCTAAGTTAGATAAATCTATAAAATAGACACAAGACTACTTTAGTAAAAATTATATTTAAGATTAACTAGAGCTCTGCATACTCATAATATATTAGATAATATACATCTTAAAAAGATTTAAATCATATAGTAAATAGATCTATAAGTAAGTTAACTAGCTTAAACAGTTAGATATAATAATAATATTAGTTTAATATAAGAGATGAGTTAATGATTAGAGTATTTAAATAGGTAACCTATAGGCAGGTTGCAGATATAACTACATAGTATAGAACTAAACTGATAGTTTAATATTTGTATAGCAAACTACTTAAATTAAATAATAACTAAAGTTGGATATATAGCTTGTTATATACTTATTATGTAATTATAAACTTTAGAAGATTACTATATATATGACTCTGTAATAACAAACTAATAAAATCTAATTAGCTAAAAAGATAGTTTTAAAAAAAAATAAAAAATTTTATTATAATGTTATAACATATTTTACAATATATACTAGATTTAATATATACTAAATATTATAATATATTGTATATATCTAAAATTAAGCCAAATATCAATTATAGTATTTTGATATATTATTATATCTTAAGTTATATCTTAGATAATATTAAAATCAGCTATAGTATTACTAAATATCTATACCTATATTAAATATATTCTTTTAATTAAGAGTTTATTAACAAAATAAACTAAACTTTCTATACTTTTCTAGTTATCAGTTATATTTTTTTTGTTATTAAAGTAGTTTATATTCTAATAGGATTTTATTAGTTTTATATATAGAATTATATATTAATAATTTCTACTATTTGTAATTATATAAAAAGTATATAATAAGCTATATATACAAATTTAGTTATTGTCTATTTTAAGTAATTTACTATATAAGTAATTAGATTATCTAATTAGTTTTATATTATGCTACTATATCTATAACCTATTTATAAATTATCTATTTAAATATTTTATTAATTAACTCATACAAATTCATCTCTAATATTACTACAACACCTAACTACTTAAGCTAACTAGCTCATTATAGATCTATTTACTTAAATTAGCTTAGATCTTTTCAAGTTATATTATATCTAATATATAATAAATATTGCAAAGCTAGTTAATCTCAAAGCAAACCTACTAGAGCAACTCATACCTATTTTATAAGTTTATCTAGATTAAGAATAGGAAGTACTATTTATAAAACTAATAGTAAAAAATATTTGTTTTAATTTTAAAAAAAATTATATTAAGTAAATTAGTTTTAAATTTTTAAATAAAGATTTAGAGCAGATTTTTCTGATTTTAATAATAGTAAAATTATTAAAATCAATTAAATATTTACTAATAAACAAGTATTTTAAGATAGCATATTATAAAAATTATATAATATTAACTAATTAAAATTAACTATTTTGTGTAATTGAAAGAAATTTAAACCAACTAAAAAAAACTTTATAATATATAAAAGTAGAATTTTTTTTAAAAATTCTATTTATTAAAATTTTGCTATTATAAAAAAAATATATTATTCTATATATTATAAAATTTTAGCTAAAATTAATTATAATTATAAAAAGTTTTATTAGTAATATATTTTCATTTTCTATATAAATCTTATTGTACTACTAAAATCATATGAGCTAGATGCTGAGAAAAAGACCTAAATTGACAAAACAAAAAATTTTTAGAAAATCAATTTTTGTATTATAAATTTTATAGAAATTATAAGAAATTACAGATTTTAAAAAGCTATACTGCAAAATTTTATTAATACAACTACTTTTATATTTTAAGTAAAAAATAATCCTAAATTAATTTATGCAAAAAAATTATTTTTGAAAAATTGTCAATTTGGGTTCTTTTTCTAACACTTAGTCTATATGATAAATGATCTATATATCTCCTACTCTTAAACTCTTATAATATTTATATGATCTTAGTTACAATATTTTATACTCTTATAAATACTTTATACTTTCTAAATAGTTAAATTCTCTTAAATTTAGTTAGCTACCTAGCTAGGTTAGTATTATTAATTAGTAGATTAAACTTATTTATACTCTTGCATCTGAGTTTTCTTCTTCAGATTTTAGATTTCACTAATGTAACTATCAAAGATCATATTATTATACTACTCAGAATTTCTACTATACAAGTTTCTGCTTGTAGATTCTATTAAGATTTATTTGTATAATATTATGTTATATTTCTAATGTTTGATTAACTTGATACAACTTAATTTATAGAGTTATAACTCCAGAAATAAACAAGGTTTACTAAAAGTTAAATCCAAAGGTCTGAGTAACTATTCAAATTTATCAACAGTAGGATTTGAACCTCAGACCTCTTGCATAGTGATCTGGCAATTTAACTACTACATTAAGATTGTCAGACTATTAGTTACATCTTTTTATATTATTCTAGATTATACTAAATATTAGTTTTTCTGATTTAAAGACATGCTTTATAGGCATGTCTTCAAAATTTTTTGTATGACACTTTTTTACATATGTAAATTTTTTTTAAAAAAGGCATGCTCTAGGTATGCTCCTCTAGGTATACTCCTAAGGCATGCTTTAGGTATGCTCCTCTAGGTATGCCCCTAAGGCATGCCTTGGGACACCGTGTCTACAACCCTAGTTTTGAGGCAGAGCACTACTTATAAATAGAATATAAAAACACTTATATGCGATTTATAAGTTATTTTATGATCACTGATCAAATCATCACTTTTAATCTCAGTAATCACACTATATTTTATATCTTATTGGCTTAGATTCTATTTAATCTTATTGTTTTAATTTAAATAATCACAAAATTGAAAAATTTTACTCATATGAATATGATGAATCTGCTAATTATGCCCAATGAATCTGCCAAATATGATAAATATAGAGAATCTGCTAAACGTAATAAATATGAAGAATCTACTAAAAATGATAAATATAAAGAATCTACTAAATATGATAAATGTGAAGAATCTACTAAATATAATAAATGTGAAGAATCTACTAAATATGATAAATATGAAGAATCCACCAAATATGCTGGATAAATGTGAAAAATCTACTAAATATGCTGTGTATGATCGATCTACGGATCATAGTGATAGTAAATGACCTTCAAATGACCTTCAAATGACCTCAAATGACCCAATTTTATTATGAACTTTAGTCCGAAATGACCTAGGTCATTTGAAAAAAAGGCAAATGACCTCTAATTTTACGGATTACGATCGTTACACACCATTTTCTGCGATAGCCTCTATAGGCACTGCTCTTGTACTTGAAATATAGATCCTCCGCTATGCTCTGGACAATTAATCTTATTTTATGTAATTGAATGTAAATTTTAATTTACGAATTTTAAAGTTTACAGGTTGACAATTTTATACATACCGTTAGATCATTTAACTTAGAATCTAAATTAAAGCGGAAATAAATTGAGAACAATATTTCATAATTATGTAACATAATTGTAAAAATACAAGTAAAATTACCTAAAAATAATGAATTATAATTATTCTCTATTTTTTTCGTGCTAATTATTTTACTGGTATACATAGAATTTGGATGTATTTGCAAAATAGTAGATGATGATTTTATTATTTCATTAGCATCCAAAAATTTCTTTTTTATATAAAATCCTTTGTCTTTATCAGATATTTTAGAATCCATAATACGTTCCCATTGAAAAAGCTTTATAAAAAGGTCTTTGGCAGTGGGTCGTTTCTGTGGATCTGAGTTCATACATTGCTCTGACAATTTAATATAACAATCTGGAGTTCCAGCAGCAAATTCTGGCCGTAAGCCATTGCAAATTTTTATAGCAAGTTTAATGTCAAATTTATGGCCATCAAAAGGTCTTCTTCCAGACGTCATCTCTACCATAATAATGCCAAAGCTATAAATATCAGCCGCAAATGAATATTTTTGTCCTAACAGTACTTCTGGAGCAACATAGGGCATGACGCCGAAAATTTCCGAGGTATCTATATCTTCTTTTTTAGATAAACCTAAATCTGCGATATATGAAGATCTATACTTAGAACTAATTTCATTTATCAAAATGTTGCCACTATGAAAATCACGATGCATATATCCTGCTTCATGAATTTGCGCCAAATCAAGGGAAATGTCTACAAGTTGCTGTAATTTAATTTCCCATGTAAATTCTTTAAAATTTGATGTTAAGAAATTATGAAGATCTCCTTGATTGGCGTATTGAAATACCATTAAATATTGATTTTCTTTATTTTGAGTTAATCCATACACTTCAAGTTTGCTGCCTTTTAACCTACATTTCATGTGATTCTTAAACTTATTATAGTATATTATATTAAATAATTTATATAAATATGAAGTACGTGTTTAATAAAGTCATTTTGCATTAGCATATCCATAATTGGCCTACCTCATTTAAAAAATCTGAACTGGTTCGCGAACTAGATAAAGTCTTTAACGCAACTGTTATTGACTTTTCACGTGATCTCGTATAATTTTTATAAACTCCTGTAATTATTCTTTTGCCATTTTTCCAAGTTGCTGAATATACTGTGCCAAATCCTCCACTGCCAACCAATCTTACATTGCCTATATTGTCAAATGGAATCCATTCAATTACTTCTTCATATAGCGTAGCTTGGAGCTGAAATTCCTTAATGCAATTGTCTATATCTTCATTTTCACTTGTCCATCCTTTAATCATTAATTTAGGATCACATGTATGACACCAAGCTGGAGATGTATTATACTTATTACAATGTGAACATGTGCCATAATCTGCAGATCGTCTGCAAACATAAATCCTACGTATAAAATTTTTATCAAATTAAGAAACTTAATAATTCTAAAATGACCCTAAATGATTATTATACTTACTCTTTACTACATTATTCAAAATGTATACTATTGTAAATTTTGAAAATAAACTTCATACTTACACTCTATATATAATTATTATAGCATATTATTGATTAGATGAATAATTATAAAACTATTAAATAAACTTAGAGTTTATACTTACTGCCTATTTTTGATCATAAAATATTTAATACGTATTAGTATTTTAAAATGTCAAATTTATAAATTGCTACGTAGAATAATTTTACATTTACCGCCTAAATTGATTATAAATTCCTTTAAATGTTTACTTTAAAATTGTATATGACTAAAATTTATACTTACTCGCTATTAGTTTTATATATGAATGATTATAAAAGGATCTTGAAATAATTTGTTGCAAACGTTATGTTTAAAACCGAATTTACTTACCGTCTAATTTATCATATTTAAAATTAATTATTACTCACAATTTTTATAAATGTAGGTCATAGAAATAATTTTATATTACATACTCTCTGAAAATTTATAGGTAGTTAACATGAAATTGTCCATTTTAATAATAAGATCCGGTAAAATATTTGGCTTTAAAAAATTAACGCTATGCTTACTCTCTACAATTAACATAAAAGTTGATCCTTGAATTAGTATAAAACATTAACTGCCTTAAAATATACATCAGTATCGTATAACACTTATAGATTTGCAATATTGATAGGATAGTTACCGTCTAATATTTATAGAAAAGCGGTAAGTAATATTCACAAAAATATGGTCATAAATAAATTCAAATAATTATTATACATACTCCCTATTAAATTATTAAATATATTAATATAATAAGGTATTAAAATGAATTTGCAAGTGCCCGAGGCATCCATTCGTGGAAAAAAAAATGAATTTGCATAAACTTGATGCTTACTCTCTATTAATTTAATATAATAGATTTATAGATTATTGAAATATCTTTGCAAAAATACTGATTAAAAAGTAATATAACGAATTTATATAAACTTACTCTCTACAAATATAAATTATATTGAAATTAATTTTTGAAAAATGCTATTTAAGCAATCTGAAATAAAATTTATACTTACAAACTATTAATTGAATTAATTTAAGATTATATTGAATTGACTGCGTAAAACTATTTAATAACGAACTATTTAAAGATTGAATAAACCTATTGTATTTACCGTCTAATAGATATATATAGCCGTAGTTAAAAGTTTATTTTAATTATATCTGTATTACACGTAGAGTAATTTTATACTTACAATCTATTAATTTAATTTGATCATAATAAAATTTAATAAACTCCTTATAAATATTATTTAAGAGGTTAAAGGGTATAAATTTCATAGTAAAAATCGGCGCAGTAATACTAATACTTTCATATAGAGATGGAATAGTAAAAATCGTATAGTAAAAAAAAATTAAAAATACTAATATCTCGAGATCATACCATTATTAGAACAAGAACATCGTCTCTACAATTTACTTAGAACTCAAGAAAAGTTTACTTAGTAAAAAAAATACATTTCTATGTAAGCAATCTTCATTCCCGTATTATATGAAGTTCCAGTTTTTTTTTAATAAAAAATTTGCTATTTTTTTTATACCCTTCAGAGCCTAACTGTCTCTTAAGTACTCTTACCGCCTGATATAATAGATATAAAAAACAATAAATAATATTTATTCCTGAACGTTTTGTTTAAAATTACTCTGAATTACAGTAAATTTATACTTACTCTCTATTAATTTTAGGATGCACAAAATTAATTGGTTTGAAATAAATTATTTAGTGCGTAGGTTTGAAAATTAAACTCAATATTACCGTCTATTTAACAATATCATATACAGTAATAATCAATATTATTGTAATAATCTATATTTCCTTATAAATTATATTTAAAAATAAAATTTATACTTACAAACTATTAATTTAATGTAACAATATAAATTTTGCAAAATTGGTGAAAATAGCTATAATAAAATTATACTTACTCTCTATTAATTTAATGAAATTAAAAAGTCTGTAAATTAATTGATTTATGTATTTAAGCAGTCCTATACTTACGCACTATTTATTTATGTGTATAAAATTGATATTAAGTTTTAATAATTACTATAACTTTTAAAAATAAATCTAGATTTAATACATACAATCTATTGATTTAACAAGCATAAAATTTTATACAAATTAATTTTTAGAGATAGTAATTTTATTTAAGATACGTTTAAGCTATTTATACTTACATACTATATAATAAAATTTTAAAAAAATGTTTGATAAAAAATTTTAGTAAAATGTTGACTAATTGTAAATGTATTTTTTTGCCTACCGCCTAATTTAAATATTATTAGAAATTCTTTATCATAATCTTTCGAAATGTAAAAAGAATAAATAAATTAATATTTATATTTACCGACTAATTTATTATATACAAATTATTTGTATAAATCGTAGTTTCTTTAAATTGTTTGTTTTAAATAAATTTGAATAGGCTTTAAACATACAAACTACATATAATATTTAATATATATATAAAAATTATTAATTAATTAATATTTATTAATAACTGATAATTTGAAATGAATCTAATTTCCATACTTACCGTCTGATTTAAAATGTATAAAATTGATCAAATGAATAATATTTAAAAATAATGCATTTAAAAATCCTATACTTACAATCTATTAATTAATATTATAAAATTGAAATATAGAACATTATTATAATATCTATTCACAAATGTTTGTCTTTAAATAAGTATATATAAATTTATACTTACTCCCTGTAAATTATAAATATAAGATTTGTTATTATTAAATTAATAATAATAAAGTTCTATAGATAATTAAAATCTTTTGTATATTTATTGTTGCAGCTGAAGCTGGAAATAAATATCTTAATATGAAATCTTCAAAAAAAATTTTTTAGCATTTTTTTTATAGTTAACTTACGATTTAGGGTTAGTTTTGATAATAAAAAAGTATAAGTGAGCTTTGGTAGGTTTATATTTTTAAATCGAGCTCCCTAATTCCCAGCTTCAGCCGCGATATTTATTATTGTGGATTATATTTATTTATACTGTCGGCCCTACCCAAACCGATACTGTCAAAACTGATGACCTGTTAAAACTGATCAAAAATTTTCTATTTTACTATAAATTCTTATTAAAACTGATAAGCCTCTCAAAACTGATCAAATTTTAGGCCACCAGACATATCGGGAGGGGCCGACAGTATTATATACGGACTAAATTTAAATAATGAACTTACTTGCTAATTTAATGATTCAAAATTAATAATTATTTGTACAATAAAGTATATTACTTTAAAAGTAGATTTAAATAAATGTTATTCGTACTTGCTACATAAACATTAATTATAAAGTATTTAAGAATTAAATTTTTTATATCAACATATAAATAGTCTGAGACACCATACTTACTGCCTATTTAATATATAAATTTGATTATAGATGCAATATTTATTATAAACATTGTCTTTAGGTTCAAATGAATTTATACTTTACTTTCTGTAAATCAAATAGAATAAAATTGATTAATAAAGATTAATAAAAAATTCTATAATATACAGTCTAACCTCTCTATAACTACACCGTTTGGTCTGTAGTGACTTTTTTTTGAAAAAGTGCTTATAAAGAGAATTTTTACATGATATGCTTACTTTACAAAACATGCAAATTAGCCACCTTGATAATTTTGCAAATTAGCAATAAAGTAGCTATATAGTTACTTTATAGTAATTATAGTTTTAAAGTTACTATAAAATAGCAATACACCCAATTCAATTACTATCTTTTACTTTTATATAAACTTTACTACTACTTGCTACTATGTATCTAGACTATACTTTTACTACAATTTTATAAAAAATTTTTAAATATCGAAACTTTAATTTTTTATAAAATTGTAGTAAAAGTATAGTCTCGATATAGTAAAATAGTAATAAAATAGTAGCAATTAGTAGTAGGCGTACCGCTATTTTATAGTAACTTTAAACTATAGTTACTATAAGTACCTATATAGCTACTTTATTGCTAATTTGCAAAATTATCAAAGTGGCTAATTTGCATGTTTCTGTAAAGTATAGAGAGAATCATTACAAATTTAAAATTATACAAATAAAGTTTATACTTACTCTCTATTAATTAAAATTGATTATAAAAAATAATTTACGATAAATCTTTGTAAAATATTAGTTTTCATAACTAATTTTAAATAAACCTTATCTTATAAACTTACAAACTATTAGTATAAATAATTGATTAAATTATTATTAATAATTAAACTTCTACATTAAAAATTGACTAAATAATCTTTATACATACAAGCTAACAAATAAATTTATTAAAATAATTCATTAAAAATAAATAATTACTATATACTACGGATAAATTTTAATTTAAATATACTCACTCTCTATGAATACAAAAGGTTAATTATTGAATTGCAATTATATTATAATTTAAAAATAAATTCAAATAATTTATATACTTACCGCCTGATTAAATATATATAAGTAGTGTTTGATAAAAATACTTATAAAAATTGGAGTTAGAATAATTTAATATTCTTTATACTTACAAACTATTAATTAATAATAAATATATAGTATTGAAAATATCTTTAAAAATGCTGTTTATAAAAAATAAAATAAATTCTATACTTACGCACTACGTATTAATTAAATCTATAATTAAATATAATGATAAATGTAATACAAAAATTAACAATGCAAAATTTTATACCTACCGCCTAATTTAATATAGATTTATTATTGAATCAACTTTTATAACCCAAAATAAATTTTATAAATATGTACTTACAGACTATTAATTAAATTATTAAAAGTAACGTTTAATAGAATGTTTGATATACATATATCTGAATGAATTTTATACTTACAAACTATAAATTCATCATAATTAATAATTAATGATATAGCAATATTTGCATAATACCGTAAAAGTGCGTATAAAAGATTCTCTTTGGCAGTAGAATCATGAATTAGACCTAGGCATAAACTACAGGATTTCTACAATCAAATGTGGGTTTTTTAAATGGTTGAACTGCCTATTATAAATACAAAAGTGTATGCGCTTTAAATTTTTCTTTTTACGATATAATCTCTCAGCCATGTACTATACCAAGTCTATTAGAGGTTTTAAAATTGGTAGAACGTATTAGACCTGGGTCTTGTATACGAACTTTTATGGTAATCAAATATTAAATTTACCGTCTAAATTAACGATTATAAAAATTAGATTAAAAAATTTATAAATTGCTGATTTTATATTAAACTTTATACTTACAAGCTAATTTAATGCATATGAGTAAATTATTTAAGATTTTTTATAAATGTTATTAAAAACATTTTTAGCCAAATTTTGTACTTACAATCTTTTAAATAATTAATGAATTAAATTAATTGTTTATCATAAATTCATATATTATAAAATTTTATTTATAATAAATCTTAATACTTACACCCTTAATTTAAAAAAAATTACAAAAAATTAATAACGAAACAATATTTTAATAATTAAATTTATTAAAACCTTGATTTCAAAAATAGACTTCATAAATTCATATTTACCGTCTAATTTAATATTATTATAAACAATAATTATTGTAAATTTTGTTTGAGTATTAACACTAAAATGAACTTTATACTTGCGCGCTATTTAATAAAAGATTATAAGTTATTTTAAGTTTATAAAATGATAACTTTAAAAATAAATTAAATAAATAATATGCTTACAAACTATTACGAAATATGCAGTTTAATATATAAATGCAATATGTCTTTGCAAAATAATGAATTTTAAAATGAATTTATACTTACAATCTAATAATTTATCAAATTAATTATAAATA